CAGGTGTCGCCGTTGTGCCGCCGCAGCAGCAGTCCCCGCCGGTGTCAGCCCTTCGCCTGCTCGGCCTTCCGTCCCCCGACCCTGCGTCTGTTCCTCCCCGCCCGTCTCCTCCTCTTCCTGTCTACGGCCCTGTTTTCCCTCCGCCGGACTCGTCCCCGGCCTGTCTCCCCCCTCGTTCCCCTCCTGTGTCCCCTCCCCTGTCTCCTGACCCGACTCCTCCGTCGCACGTCTGGTCCCACCGTCCCTCCCGTGCTCGTCCTGCCTCGCCTGTCTTGCGCTCCCACCCTATGTTGCTTCGTTCACACGCGTCTCGTCCTCCCCTTTCTGCCGTCCTCTCCTCCGTCCTCCCTTGCTGTTGCACCCCCCCGCTGTCTGACTACCTTCGTGACGCGCGTCCTCTTGTTCCTCGGGTCCTTGCCTCTCTCGTTACCGACCCGTCTGTTCCGGTCTCGTGCCTTGACGCTCTTGTCGCTGCTGTCGCTGACTTCGCCTCTACCCGCCGTCTTGACTACGCCACCGCTCTGGTCTCTGACCCTGCCTGTCCTCCGTCTGTCGGGGGTGCTCCTGCCCTTGGCAGTGACGTCCTGGAGGACCGCCAGTTCGAGCTTGCTTTCCTGTCCGAGGCTGCTCCCCATCTCTGTTCCATGCTGCTAGTCCCTGAGGGTGACCTAGACGCTTTCGACATCCCGACCCCTCGCACTTACGCTGAGGCGACTTCGGGACCCTGGGCCTCGCAATGGATAGCTGCCATGGAGCAGGAGATGGCATCTTGGAGATCCACCGGCACCTTCGTCGACGCAGTTCCCCCACCTGAGGTGAACGTAGTCGATGGCCGCTGGCTCTTCAAGGTGAAGCGCCCTCCTAGAGAGCCGCCTGTGTTCAAGGCGCGCTATGTGGCTAGAGGCTTCAGTCAGCGTGAGGGGGTGGACTTCTTCCAGACCTTCGCTCCGACCCCGAAGATGACTACTCTTCGGGTTCTGTTACACCTAGCTGCTCAGCGTGACTACGAGCTTCACTCCCTCGACTTCTCCACTGCCTTCCTTCAGGGCAGCCTACACGAGCAGGTCTACTTGCGTCGCCCTCAGGGCTTTACTGGCACCTTCCCTCCTGGGACCCAGTGGCTCCTGCGGCGCCCCATCTACGGCCTGCGCCAGGCTCCCCGTGAGTGGCACGACACTCTCCGTGCTACGCTTGCTGACCTGCAGTTCTTTCCGTCTTCTGCAGACCCTTCACTCTTCGTTCGTGCTGGCCAGACTCCGTTCTACATCCTTGTTTACGTCGACGACCTGGTCTTTGCCACAGCAGACAGGGACGCACTGGCCTCCGTGAAGGCAGAGCACACGTGCACTGACCTTGGAGAACTGCGCCGTTACCTTGGTTTGCAGATCTCCAGGGACAGAGCATCGCGCACCATCACTCTGACTCAGTCACACTTGGTGCGCCAGGTCCTTCAGAGGTTCAGCCTTCAGTTCTCCTCTGCACAGCCCACCCCTCTGCCTGTAGACCACTGACTCTCCGCTCCAGTGTCTGAGGAGTTGGTAGAGCCCAGCGGCCCCTACGCAGAGCTGGTGGGTTGCCTCATGTACCTGATGACTTGCACTCGCCCAGATCTCGCATACCCTCTCAGCATCCTGGCTCGCTTTGTGGCCACAGGCAGACACCGACCGCAGCACTGGTCTGCCGCTAAGAGGGTTCTGCGTTATCTTGCTAGTACATCGGGCATGGGGTTAGTGCTAGGAGGACGCAGGCCAGTGGTCCTTACTGGACACACAGACGCTTCGTGGGCAGACGACGCTGAGACCCTCAGGTCTACCGAGGGCTACTGCTTCAGCCTTGGCTCAGGTGCCGTCTCGTGGAGAGCTACCCGCTCCTCGTCTGTTGCACAGTCCAGCTGTGAGGCTGAGATCTACGCCGGTGCCATGGCGGCACAGGAGCTCCGCTAGCTGACCTTCTTGCTCACTGACTTAGGTGAGAGGCCTAGCTCTGCCCCTGTCCTGTTCGCTGACAACAGGGCCATGATCCTCCTGTGTCAGGAGCCTCGACTCGAGGGCAGAGCGAAGCACATTCAGCTGCGGTACTTCCTCCTGCGTGAGCTACAGCAGCGACGTCAGGCTCGCGTAGTACACTTGGCCTCAGGTGCCAACACGGCTGATATGTTGACGAAGGTTCTTGCGCCTAAAGATCATCAGCGGCACTGTGTACAGCTTGGTCTAGTTCCTGTAGCCTCTCATTTGCTAGGACCTTGACTTTGTACTGTCCTTTATATGTATACTCAGACTGGACTTGTGTCCTCTCCCAGTGGCTGGACTAGTAGTGCCGCCCTGCTCTTGTTCTTGCCTTGTCTGTACCCCTTCTGACTGGTCTCTCAGACCCTTGTCTCAGAGGTTGGACTAGTAGTGCCGCCTTGAGCTGCTTGTTTAGGACATTCCCCTATGCAGTCTAGGGGGTGTGTCAAACATGTGTATGTGTTATGTTTGTATAGACTGTATAGGGTCATCTCTTAGAGGGTACAACACTTAGGTATATCTGTGTGTACTCTCACTCTATCATCATTCACTACTCTAATTCTGATAGCGCCAAGTTCAAAAGATTGCGAAGCCCACACTGGCCTTTACTCGAAGCTCGACTTAAGAGCTGGCTGAAAAGCACAAACGGTGCTGGCTTGCCAGTGTCGACCGCTCTAATCCAGCAGCGCGCTATTCTGCTAGCACCCGAGTGCAACGTCCCTAGCGACTTCAAAGCTTCTGTTGGATGGGTTCAGAAAGCATTGCGCCGAATGGGATTCAAGTGGCGTAAGATGAGCGGCGAGGCGAGGTCTGCCGACGAGGGCGCCGCGCTGACCGCGCAACTGCATTTTCTGAGGCTGCGCGGCCAGCTTGGCCTCACCCCAGAGAACCTCTTTAACTTCGACGAGACCTGTGTCTACTACAGTCTCCTACCCGACCACACTTTCTGCATCGATCCTACCCCGGGGAAGAAGGTTTGCAAGGATCGACTTACAGTCGCGCTGCTGGTAAACGCGGACGGCTCGAAACTGTTCAAGCCGCTCATCATTGACAAATTTGAACGGCCCCGTTGTTTCGCAAAGCAAAAGTTTGACCCTTCGAAGTACTGCTACTGGCGCGCGAACACCTCGGGATGGATGACTGCAGAGGTGTGTGCGTCGTCTTGAATGTGTACCTTGTAATGTGCCGTGTTCTGTCCGATGCAAAATGAGTCGAGCGAACGTATATAACTTGCATGAACTTCATCCCATATGCCCCTCGCAGGTCTTTACGGCTTTTTTTTAACATATCAACGCGTGCTGCCTGGCGGAAGGAAGACGCATCGTCGTCATGCTAGATAACGCTTCGAGTCACTTGCTCCAGACCCCACTCGCCACGTCAGCTGACATCTGCGGCTTCCGGACACGGGCGCTGTCGCACGTGCGCCTCGTTTACTTGCCGCCGAACACGACACCGTTCACACAGCCTCTGGATCAGGGCCTCATCGCAGCTCTGAAGGCACGTTACAAAGTCGAGTTGCTTCAAGCTGTTCTCGCACAGTGGCAGATACCTGGCGTGACCGTCGCCGCCGTTCAGAAGTGGAAGCCGGAAATGTGGCAGGTGGTTACCTGGGTGTCGGAAGCGTGCCTTGGGCTGGAAACCGCGACCATCCATAAGTGTTTCTGGAGGACGCGAATGCTGTTGAGTGACCCGCTGGGGGTGCCCTTGAGATCCTCGGGGAAGGGCCACAGGTGCAGAGCCTGGGGGGTTATGGGCGCACTTACCCGCTATTCAACAAGCCCTTTTAACCCAGTGGTTAGTGGCTGGGTTTCTGACATGGTATCAGAGCCAAAGGTCTTGGGTTCAACTCCCAGTGCCAGCGCTGCAGAGGCGCTCGTGTCTTCCACCTATCCCAGCGGGGGGGGGGGGTGTTGAGTGACCCGCTGGGGGTGCCCTTGAGATCCTCGGGGAAGGGCCACAGGTGCAGAGCCTGGGGGGTTATGGGCGCACTTACCCGCTATTCAACAAGCCCTTTTAACCCAGTGGTTAGTGGCTGGGTTTCTGACAAATGCTGCCAGCCAGCTGGCAGCCGCTGCTACCTCTCCTCGGTGCCACATCTGAAGAGCAGGAGCCCCGGCTAGAGGACGACATCGAGGCGGTGCAGCAGCTCATGAGAGCCCTGCCGTTCGGGCCGAGCGACATGATTTCAGCCGCTCGCTTCGTCACCGCCGAGCGTAACGACGAAACGAGCGAGCCGACCGGGGTGGATCCGCTTCAGGTCGAGCCGCTTGGCCTGGCCAAGCGGGACGCTTGGTGGGCGGATGCGCCTCCCTCCCCGGCTGCACAAGACTCAGAGCGGAACCGTCGCAATCTGTCGCGCATGGCGACAGAAATGCTGATTGGCTACGCAAAGTCAATTGGATTGGCGCCCCGCGATCTACGCGTCTTGTTTGACATCCGCGAACCTTCGGTTATTGATCGCCTGGAGCGCGCATCCCCCCGCCTGGACACGAACGCTGCGCCCGGCGCGGCGGAGGAAGGGTACCTCAATCATGTCCGTGGAGCCACAGCCGTCATGACCGGATACCCTGACGCTGGCGAGTGGATGACTTTTGGCGCGCATGCCGCTACCTATCGCGGATAGTAGGCGCTTAATTTCCGTGCATTAATAGGCGGTTCAATGGCGACTTCGGGTATGGCGCGTGCGAGTCGAGGACCGAGAGACAATGTGCTCTCCGTATGACGTTAAGGGCGAGACGCTTGTGCTGTGTTGCAGTGAAGTGTGTAGTTTTCGTCTTCGTAAGTATGGTTTTCGGCTTGAGTCTTATTTTGCGGGATGGACTTCTATCGAGTCTTGTCTTTGTCGAGGCAAATCTGTTTGTTGCCAAATAACACAGCATGATTGTGACATGACGCATGAGTTTGAACATTCTGTTGTAACGCAGAGTTGATACACTCGCGCAAAGGCTTGCGACGCTGCGACGTCTACTCAATCGCTGCATATGCCAGACAAGCCGCCCATGCACAGTACACAAAAAACAACTCCCCATTTCCTGGGAAAACCCGATAGTCCACGTTGCCCCTACCGTACGGCCCATATTCGTTGTAAGCGAAATCTCTCGCGTCGCCCCCGGGGCTCTCAGGGCATATGACCTGTACCTCCATTCGTATTAATTTCGATAAGTGGTTAGTGATACGTATGTACAAACAATGACACCGAGGGGCGGATCAATGGGAGGTGACTGTACCCCTGCAGTGCAGTGCAATGCGGTGCACGACCACTCTAGTGTGGTGTGTGTTTGCCATGCAGCCTGCGCTATGTGTCTTGTGCTTGCTGCCAGCCATGCCCTGGCCATACAACTCTACCATGTGAAAGCTCCAAGCACTTATGTGCTGCTGGTGCTGCCACTGAATCTGGTGCTGCCACTGTTGCTGGTGCTGCCACTGAATCTGGTGCTGCCACTGTTGCTGGTCTGCCACTGTTGCTGGTGCTGCCACTGTTGCTGGTGCTGCCACCTAAGCTGCCACTGTTGCTGGTGCTGCCACCTAAGCTGCCACTGTTGCTGGTGCTGCCACCTAAGCTGCCACTGTTGCTGGTGCTGCCACCTAAGTGCTGAGCCCCATTCACCTGATGCTCATGCTGCGGCTGCTGAATCCGCGCTCAAGGCTGCCGCTGCCGCTGCCCTTGCACCCGCCCTTGCTGCTCTCCTCCCCCTTGGGTCCGCCGAAAGCCTTCCAAAAGCGCAGCGTCTCGTCGGCGGCAGCGGAGGCGACGGTGGCGCCGTCGGGGCTCTGCGCGAGGTGCAGCACGCGGGCGGAGTGGCCGTGGAGCTCGGCGACCTTGGTCATGGAGGGATAGCGCCACAGGCACAGCTGGTTGCGGCTGTACCCGTGCGAGCTGAGGAGCTCCCTGTCGTGCTGGCTCCACTGCAGCGCGCACACCTGCGACTCCGTGTCCACGCTGCGCTCGCACGCCCCCGTCTGCGTGTTCCACAGCTTGATGGTTCGGTCGGCCGAGCCGCCGCCCGAGGCCAGCAGGTTGGCCTGGAAGGGGCACCAGGCGAGCGCCTTGACGGCCGCCTGGTGCTGGTCCAGCCGGTGCAGCCACGGCGCGTTGCCGCTCGCCACACGCGCGGACGAGGAGAGGGCGGAGGCGGCGGCGGCGGGCGCCATGGCGGCGGCGTCCCAGATGTGCAGCAGGTTGTCGTTGCCGCCGCTCGCCAGCTGCCGCCCCGATGGCGACCACTTGAGCCCGCACACCTCCAGCTCGTGGCCTGTGAGGCGCGCGGTGACGTGGTGCCGCATGCGCACGTCGTGGTTGAGGATGGCGCCGTCGCGCCCGCCCGTGGAGAGCGTGGCGCCGTTCCAGTCCATGGCGCCCACGCGCCCCGCGTGCCCCTTGAGCGCGCGCACCTGCTTGAGGCGCTGGCTGTCCCACACCTGCACCTCGGAGCCGCTCAGCCCCACCGCCAGGTGCTTGCCGTCCGCCGCCCACGCCACGCTGCTCACGTACTCGCCGCTGCCCGCGGCCTCGTCGGCGTCGTCCCCGCCGACGTGCAGCAGCTCCTCGATGCCGCCGGTGGCGGCGTCCCACAGGTACACGGACGCGCCGAGCGCCAGCGCCACCACGTTGCTGCTGCTCCACGCCAGCAAGTTCAGGTAGTAGTCGTCCACCAGGTCCGGCGCGTCCAAAATGCGCTCCGCCGCCTGGGGGACGTACCGGAACGCCTTGCGCTTGCCGACGCTCGCGCAGGCGGAATCGGCGGGGGAGAAGAGCGCCCCGCGGGTGGGGAAGTCGGAGGAATCGGCGGAGGGGGAGCGCGCGGGCTTGAAGGAAAGGATCTTGGCCCCGCGGGGGCGGGCGGAGGGGGTGGTGTTGGCGGAAGGGCTGTCGCGGAGGAGATTCTCCGCCAGCTGCTTCCGGTACTGCGCCTGGGGGGAGGGGAGCGAAGGGAGGAGACGGTTGGGGGGAGAGAAGAAAGAGAATGAGGGCAGATGGGGCGCGGGGGAATGCTGAGGAGTGGCGGGGAAGCAGAAGAATCAATACGTGACGAGGAATCAGGGAGCTATGCGGCGAATGAGCGCGAGGGGGCTTACCGCGTTGGGCGAGGTGACTTCGTGCGACGTGCTGTTCTCCCTCGCGCCGCTGCTGGTGCTGACGTCACGGGCCATGTTGAAGCGCGCCATGTCGAGGTCCATGGCGCCGCGGTTGGGGATGAAGCGGTCCGCCTGCCACGGACAACCCAAGCCATGTCAGTCGCAATGCGTGCTGAGTGCGCTGCTCGATCATGACTTTGACGCGAAGCAGGAGAGTAAATGCTTCTCGCCGAATTTGAGTCGTCTAAGCGAAGGTCACCGCGTTAGCCGCGATGATTGACGGAGAATGGCGCAAACCATGCGACGAGGCCAAGGGGTCGCAAGGTGCGCGGAATACCTGCGACGGTGTGCGCGGGGTGGAGAGCTTGAGCGCCCTCTTCGCGGACGCGGGCGTGCCGCGGTCCGCATTGGGAGTGCCGAGGGCGTGGCGCTTCTGGTGGCTGGAGCCGGTGGCGATGGTGCTGCCGACGGCCCTCGGGGGCGTTTCGATGATCATCGTGAACTTGTCCATGGCGCGCTTGGGGGGAGGGGGTGAGAATGACAACGCACAGAGGGCGAAGGGGAGGGAAAAAAGGAGAGGGAAGGGAGGCGGAGGGCAAACAGGGCGAACGAGGACGGGACTGCACGACAAGGAAACCAAAAAGCGTGTGAATTCCAAATATGCGATTCGAAGAGAGTAATGGACGACAACACGGATGCGAAAAGCGGTGACCGACAAGACGAAGCGGAAAGGAGGGGCTGGGAGGGAAGAGTGGGTAGCGGCGAGTGGTGGTCGTCAACGGGTTGACTGAAGCCTCAATTCCTTGTCGCTCGTGAAATTCCAATAGTCGCAAGTATCGTATAGAGAGCAAGTAGTCAGATCGCAAATAAGTCGTTCGTCGCTCAAGTGAGTATCTCGTCGCAATGCGATGGTTCTGCAAAGCAACACACCTTGTGAAGCTCGCTCCACCCCCTTTTGTACTGCGAAGAGCTCTCGCTAGCTGGCCTCAAGGCCCCCCCCAAACGCACCCATCGCATCGTGTCGCAGCGAATGTGCGAATCGAATGGCGAATTTCGGGCCACGTTGGACAGTCCTTTGGGAATCGTTGGGGCCGCACCAGGCGCCAAACCAGGTGGTTCGCTGAGAGCACCGTTTGAACGGTGAGCTCCCCAGCTGTAGCCGTTACGGTAAAGTGTAGAGGTGCATTATGTTCCCTTATTGAACCGCACGTTCCGTGCGTAAAAATATACCGAACTGAAATGTTGAAATGAACAAGGTATCCAGATTCCAGAAGCATGGTGTACATAAGGGATTTCGAGGGCCCTCAGAAACGGGAACAACCTCCCTTGGTCATTGTGAAGGCATCTGTGGTGAAATTTTGGTTGACCACATTCATGCTCTGTCATTCTATCCTTGTCTTCGATTGGCTGCCTGTTCTTCCTTTTCCACATTCCTTGGGAAACAGCCAGTCACTATTCGCGAAACCGATTCCTCATCGAAAAGATAAGACAGGCACCTTGTAACTGCTATCAGTGAGAACTTGTCTTCGCATTGCCTTCGTCCTTGCTGACTGCTTTCGCAACACCGACAAGCGAGCGAAGCTCCCGCCCTTGGGATTGTGGTTGTGATTGTCCCAGGGTTTCCTTTACGCTCCACTCAGTTTTCGAGCCTGCTTTTCCCATTCCACCTCCCTTCCTCCTCTGGACGCATCCATGGCTGCCGTGTCTGCCGCCGCTGCGCGTATCGCCATGGCTGCCGCTCCCGCACAATCCGCAGTCCTTGCATCGGCCTATTCGTCTCGATCCAGCTTCGCAGCTGGGCCGATGTCCAGGCCGAGCCTAACTGCGGGAGCGAAGCGCCTTCCAGCTGGAATCAGGTGCCATGGCGGCGAGGAGAGCGAGGTGGCCGTCGATGGCCGCGCATTCCGCCGCGCGTTGAATAAGAGCGACAACTACAACCGCAGCGGGTTCGGGTACAAGAAGGAGATGCTGGAGCGGATGGAGCAGGAGTACACGAGTGAGTTCAAAGGACGCTACCATCCATAAAAGAGACCCAGCATCAGAAAAAACCCAGCATAAAAGAGACCCAGCATTCAAAATGGGGATATTTATCTAGCCTCTGAGAATTCGTGCAGTGGAGAGATAGTTCTTGCGTAAGAATGGGTAGGCGTAGGAATTTCGGGTCGTCCAGGGATTTTTCTCTCGTTTAGCCCTTGAAGCGACTGCTCAAGCCCTTAGTCGTGGCGTGTCTGCTCTCAGTAGCTTTGATTCCTGCGTGCAGGCGACGTGGTGAAGACCCTGCGCGAGAACAACAACGAGTACACGTGGGGCGACGTCACCGTGATGCTCGCCGAGTCGCTGGGCTTCTGCTGGGGCGTGGAGCGCGCTGTGCAGATGGCGTACGAGGCGCGCAAGCAGTTCCCCGACCAGAAGATCTGGGTGACCAACGAGATCATCCACAACCCCACCGTCAACGACGTGCGTGCCAATGCGCCCTCCCCGTCGTTAGTGCCGTTCCCCGAGACGGCGACGATTGCCGTTCGGCTTGCTTAGCCCCCCTCCAGTTTTCTAAAGTCGTACCTTTTATTCCTGTTCCATTCGCAGTAGCGCATGCGTTGTGGTGGCGACTCATGCTGTGTGTTGGTGCGCGCGGCAGAAAATGGAGAGCATGGGGATGAGCTTCATCGAGACGCGCGGCGACGGCAGCAAGGACTTCAGCGTGGTGGCGGACGACAACGTGGTGGTGCTGCCGGCGTTCGGCGCGTCGCTGCAGGAGGTGACCATGTTCCACGACAAGAACGTGCAGATGGTCGACACCACCTGCCCCTGGGTCTCCAAGGTGCGCCCCCCCTGCACGAGCTTTTCAATGGCAGCGGAGAGGGGGACGAGGGAATGGGAGAGAAAGGAGGTGGATGGGAGGACGGGCGGAGTGGGAAAGGCCGCGGGGCCAGGGGAGAGGAAGGTAGAGACATGCAGGCGCTCCCTTTGGACGCTTATATCCCTTTGGACACTTATATCCCTTTGGACACTTATATCCCTTTGGACACTTATATCCCTTTGGACGCTTATATCCCTTTGGACACTTATATCCCTTTGGACACTTATATCCCTTTGGACACTTATATCCCTTTGGACACTTATATCCCTTTGGACACTTATATCCCTTTGGACACTTATATCCCTTCGGACACTTATATCCCTTTGGACACTTATATCCATTTGGACACTTATATCCCAGGCCCTTTCATGCCCTCGCCTCGTCCATGTGTCCTCTCCATCCCTCGTGTGGGCGGCAGGTGTGGGACACGGTGGACAAGCACAAGCGCGGGCAGTTCACGTCGGTGATCCACGGCAAGTACGCGCATGAGGAGACCGTCGCCACCGCCTCGTACGCCGGCACCTACATCGTCGTCAAGGACATGAAGGAGGTATGGCGCCGCCCTGCACGGCGTGCAGGGCATGCAGGGCATGCAGGGCGCGCAGGAGGTGCAGGAGGTGCGGAGGGGGGATGAAAGGCATGCAGCGCGTATGGTGGCAAAGGTTGTCAGGAGAGGCACGGAACTACGATAGCAAGGGTTCACAGTGGATAAGGCGGTGGCTGTAGGCGCGTAGGCGTACAAGTCGTGTTGGAGAGCACGTATTTGCACTGCGCGCTGTGCCATCACCCTGGTCCCACCAACGAGCGCCAGCTCTGTTCTGTGCTCCCACAGTGCGGAGTCGAGACACTGGTCTGCTGTTTTCTCCCCCTCGTGGCTGCTCCCGCTCCGCCAGGCGCACTATGTGTGCGACTACATTCTGGGCGGCAAGCTCGACGGCTCCAGTGGCACGCGCGAAGAGTTCCTGCAGGCGAGTTGTCCGTTCCGCGCCCACCCTCCTTGCCGCGCCCACCCTCCTTGCCACGCCCACCCTCCTTGCCGCGCCCACCCTCCTTGCCGCGCCCACCCTCCTTGCTGCGCCCACCCTCCTTGCCGCGCCCACCCTCCTTGCCGCGCCCATCCGTGCACGTTGCTGCTCTCGTCCCCGCCATCCTTTCTGCACCATGCCGTGCCATCCCGGTGCTCTGCGTCTCCCCCTCACTCGTGCCCACCTCGCGCCCCTCCCCCCCCTGCTCGGCCTGCGCGCGCTCAGAAGTTTGCCAAGGCGGTGTCCAAGGGCTTTGACCCGGACCGCGACCTGGAGAAGCTGGGCATCGCCAACCAGACCACCATGCTCAAGGGTGAAACCGAAATGATCGGTGAGACGCCACCCTGCACCGGTGGCGGCGGCTGGGATGGTGGAGAGGAGGAGGACTGGACCACATGCCCGTAGTTGGTCATGCACCCTAGCTCATTGCCGTGTCCCTTCACTCGCTTGGCAGTCTCATGCCTCTCTGATCATTCCCTGCTCGTCCTGTGCTTCCCCCACGCCTCCTCACGAGCGCCTGTGGTGCAACAGCACTCAGCGCTACCTGAACCAGCACTCTCATTGCTCTCGTTGCTCCCTCTCGTCCCTTGCCGTCCTTCCCCCCCCCCACATGGCCCCCATGCGGCGTGGCAGGCAAGCTGCTGGAGCGCACGATGATGCAGAAGTTTGGTGCGACGAGCGTGAACGAGCACTTCATGAGCTTCAACACCATCTGCGACGCCACGCAGGAGCGGCAGGACGCCATGTACGCGCTGGTGGAGCGCCCCATGGACCTCATGCTCGTCGTGGGCGGGCTCAACAGCAGCAACACCTCGCACCTGCAGGAGATTGCGGAACACAAGGGCATCGCGTCGTACTGGGTGGACGAGCCGACGCGCATCGGCCCCGGCAACCGCATCATGCACAAGCTGTACTACGGCGAGCTGAAGGAGACGGAGGGCTTCCTGCCGCCCGGCCCCATCCGTATCGGCGTCACTTCGGGGGCCTCCACTCCCGACAAGGTGCGCCCCACACCTGCTCGTGACGGCTGTGCCGCTCACAGCACTGCCTTAGCGCTGCCTCGCGGCTGTGTGTGCATGCATGCCTTTAAACTTATGGCGGCCTTGCACTCATGCGCGCCTGCTCTCCAGGCATCCACCCCTTTCTATGTCTGCTCCTCAGCAGTCGCACGCAGACTGCTGGGGCCGCCATGGGCTGCTGTGGGCCTGTGGCTCGCTGCGTTGCCATCATCCCACTTCTTGCGCCCGCCTCTCTCTCTTCCTGCTCTCATCTCTCTCATTCCCTCCCCCCCCAATGCCCCCCCAATGCCCCCCCCCCCAATGCTCCCCCAATGCCCCCCCAATGCTCCCCCAATGCCCCCACAATGCCCCCACAATGCCCCCCCAATGCCCCCCTCTCCCCCCCCAATGCCCCCCCAATGCCCCCCTCTCCCCCCCCAATGCCCCCAGGTGGTGGAGGACGTGCTGAACGCCATCTTCGCCATCAAGAAGGACATGGCTGCGCTGCAACCAGTTGCATAGTCACACATGTGAACCACAGGCTCAACGCCTGCCCTGCCTGCCGCCAGGAAATTAACACCTTTCATGCCTCTGCTGAACACACACTCCCTACTTGCCTTTGCTGCATGGTGCGCTGCTCTGGCAGTTGCAGCTGCTCTGTGTATTATTTCAAGCATGGACTGTGCCATGCCATGTGCCTTGTTTGAACAAACACCTATGGACAGCTATGTCTGAATAAGGCCTCGAGACAAGAGCCTAGTAACCAAACCAATCGCGCAAAGAAGGAAAGTGGAAACTACAAGTGTGGCTTGAATCCTTGAAAGGTTCTTCAGCACTTGCATGCTCCTGCCACGGAGGGGCCTTGCCTTGCCGCTACAAGGTGCCGTAACTCCTGTCTCCAGCATCCCCAAGTCCAGGTACGATGAACCTGCCATGCCAGGCCGGGAATGGTGGGATGGGGGTGGGAGAGCATGGTGGCGGAGGGAGTGGATGAGTGCAAGAGGTGCCGCATGCGTGGGATCAACGCACAGGGGAGCAGGCGT